TTAGTATTATATTTCCTTACAGATTTTTATATGGTCTTTTTAATTTATGATATTAAAAACATATCCTTTTTTTTTTATTACTCACAAAGTCTTGATTTTTGTCGCTTTATTTTGAACCAAAATAATGGAAAATAAGTATAATAATTTAAGCCTAGTCCTCTGACTTAGGATAAGATTATAAAGCCAGATTTTTTTTCCTGGTTCCATAATGAATCTAGAATCTATAGGATTGGAAAGCATCCTTGATTTGTCACGTCCTCCCCAGTCTCTGGGAAAACACTAGTGGCACATGTTTACTTTTGTTTCTTAAAAAATACGGGTCCCATTTAGCCAATTAACACATGCAAAGATTTAGTGATTAGAGAGCATCATCAAATTTCTTTCAAAGAGAGGAGCTATAAGATACCTGTGTCTGTTGATGCCACTGTAAGTGTGTTGAGTAGTATCAGATGTAAATAAAAAATTTCTTAGTGCTTGAAATAATTAAGAGGAAAATTTTCTTTGGAAATTTTCGGGACTTGATAGGTATATGGGTTAAAACTAGATTGACTAGGATGGTTATTGAGAGGCAACAACTTTGATCAATAACTTTTTAATTTATTTTTTTCTTTATTGAAAAAATAAAAAAATGGAGAGGGAGAGAGAAATAGAAACATCAATGTGAGAGAAAACCAATCGACTGCCTCCTGCATGCCCCCCACTAGGGATTGGGCCCAAAACCTGGGCATGTGCCCTGACCAGGAATTGAACTGGTGACCTCTTGGTGCATGGGTTGATGCTCAACTACTGAACCACACTAGTAGGACAGTCAGTAGCTTTTTAATCAGACTAGTTGTGTAAATGGACATGTGTGCATCACAGTTGATAGTAAAAACAGCAAGAGGTTTATGAGATACTCAGAACTGGGTTAATTAGAATCAACATTAGCTTTGGAAGCCAGGGCAGTTTTCCAAAACTGATGTCTTGGAGACATAGTGGGCTATAATTACAAGCCTACCTTGGAGATAATTGTGTTTGGTTCCAGAGTACCACAATAAAGTGAATATTTATAAAGTACATCACAAGAATTTTTTGGTTTCCCAGTGCACATAAAAGTTATTACACTGTAGTCTATTAAGTGTGCAGTAGAATTATGTCTAAAAATCACTGTACATACCTTAATTTAAAAATACAGGGGCACACTTGCCACTGAAAACTGAAGTCTGTGTTTCCCCGGCTGGAGCTGAAACACCAAAAATCTGTTCCCAGAGCAGACTGGTGCAGAGCAGGGCAGAGCGGACTGGAGCTGCCTAGTTGAAGAGCTCCCCCCCCCCCCGCCCCCACTACCACCAGAGCAGCCTCACATCCATGCAGCCCTGGAGCACTGTTGAGCTGTTCCACAGCAGTGCTGTTTTCACAGCCATGCTGTATTACCATAGAACTGTTGGCACTAAATAGTTTCATTCTTCACTGCTCCCCAAATTGGGGATTTCTGTTGGTATTGAATTGGCACCAATGACCATTGGTTGACACTATTGACATATAAAAGCAAACGTTTATTTTAGATAATAGATTGAGATTTATTAAGGAATTAGTTCCTGAAAATATGGAGCTGAGAAATCTCAATATTTGCATTGGCAAGCTGGAGATTCAGGAGAGCTGATGATACAAATTCCAGTCTGAAAGGTAGCAGATGGGAGACTCAAGGCAGGAGAAGCCCCCCCCCCCAAAAAAAACTTTGTAGCTAAAAAATGCAAACCATCATCTGAGCCTGTTGGAAAATGGCACCAATAGACTTGATTAACACAGTGCTGCCATAAGTCTTCAATTTGTAAAATATCGTGAAGTGCAGTAAAGCAAAGTGCAATAAAAGGTCTGCTTATATTTCTTTCACCTGTGCTAATAAATAAAAGCTGCTGCTTTTAGGACATAGAAGTACTGTGTGAACTTAGCATAAATATATGTGGGTATAAAAAGCCACTCATGATTGTCACTTCAATGTATTCTCTTTTTATTTTATTTTTTGTTATTGATATTAGAGAGAGAGGAAGGGAGAGGGGGAGAGAGATAGAAATATTGATGAGAGAGAACATTGACTGGATGCCTCCTGCATGCCCCCCACTGGGGATTTGGCCCACAACCTGGGCATGTGTCCTGATTGGGAATTGAACCGGTTACCTCTTGGTTCATGGGTTGAAGCTCAACCACTGAACCACACTGGCCAGGTTCAATGTATTCTGTTAAAGAGCAATTAGAACTCTGGTCAAGCTATCAGATGCCTGGGTTCTGGTTCCAGCTTAGAAAAAAAAATTTTTTTCCTATATTGATGTTAGAGAAGAAGAGAGAGGGAGAGAGAGAAACACTGATGAGAGAACATCAGTTGACCACCTCCTGCATGCTCCTCACTGGGAATTAGGCCCACAACCTGGGTATGTGTCCTGACCAGGAATCGAACCGGCAGCCTCTTGGTGCATGGGTCGATGCTCAACCACTAAGCCACATCAGCTGGACAAGTTATGTGATTTTAAAAAATCAATATCAGGCCCTGGCCGGTTTGGCTCAGCAGTTGGAGCGTCAGCCTGTGGACCAGAGAGTCCCAGGATTAGTTCCCGCTAGGGGCATGTACAAAAAAATAAATTAAAATAAAAATCAAGCCCTGGCCGGTTTGGCTCAGCGGTTAGAGCGTCCGACTGCGGTCCGGAGAGACCCGGGTTTGGTTCCCGCTAAGGGCATGTACCTTGGCTGCAGTTTGTCCCTGGTTGGTCATGCGGGTGGCAGCCACTCGATGTGTCCCTTTCACATCGATGTTTCCCTCTCTCTCTCTTCCTCTCTCTCCCTCCCACTCTGTCTGTGCAAAAAATGGAAAAATGTCCTCGGGTGAGGATAAAAAAAATAAATAAATAAATAAAATAAAAATCTATTTTAGTTGTAACATTAAACTCTGCATGGCCTCATTCAGTTATATTGCTTCAAATACTATGCATTATTATACATTCTATAAAATGCGTATGGCCCTTATTGCTCCAATTTCTATTTCTTCCTTGAAATCCAGGCTCATACATCCCCTCATATAGCCATTATCTCCTGGATATCTAGTAGGCACCTCAAACATTACATCACTGAAATAAAACCATTGATTTTTCTCTCCTTTTGTCACCAAATTTGCTGCTCTCATGCTTTTCTCATCTCCACAAATTCACCACAATCTGTTCAAAACCAGGGGGTATCTTTACGTCTCCCTTACCCTCACAGTTTACATCTAATTTTACAATTAGTGTTTGGCAAGAAGCCTCTGGAATATATCTAGAATTTGACCACCACTCTGTTGTCACTAGTGTTTTCCTTTTTTTATTAAAAATTTTTTTCTTTATTGATTTTAGAGAGAGGAAGGGAGAGGGAGAGAGAGATAGAAACATCAATGAGAGAAACATCAACGAGAGAGAACATCGATTGGCCGCCTCCTGCATGCCCCCCACTGGGGATTTGGGCCACAACTTGGGCATGTGCCCTGACCAGGAATCGAACTGGGACCTCTCAGTCCATGGGATGATACTAAATCCACTGAGCCACACCAGCTGGGCCCAATTTGTACTTCTTGTCCCTTTTACCTCTTTCACTCATTCCTCCAACCTTCCCTCCCATCTGGTAACCAACAAAAAGTTGTCTGAATCTATGAGTCTGTTTCTGTTCTGCTTGTTCATTTTCTTTGTAGATTCAATTGTTGATACATATTTATTTATTGCCAAGCTATTGTTCATATTTTTTATCTTTTTTTCCATCAAGAAGACCCTTCAACATTTCATATAATACTGGTTTGGTAGTGATGAACTCCTTTAGCTTTTTCTTGTCTGGGAGACCCTTTATATGTTCATAGATTCTAGATGAAAGATTTGCAGGATACAGTAATATTGATTGTAGGTTCTTGCTTTTCATCATTGAATATTTTCTGTCAATCCTCTCTGGCCTGCAAAATTTCTTTTGAGAAATCAGCTGACAGTCTTATGGGAGCTCCCTTGTAGGTAACTAACTGCTTTTCTCTTGCTGCTTTTAAGATTTTTCTCTTCCTCCTTAATGTTTTGCATTTTGATGATGCTGTGTCTTGGTGTGGGCCTCTTTGGGTTCATCTTGCTTGGGACCCTCTGTGCTTCCTGGACTTGTATGTCTGTTTCCTTCACCAAATTAGGGACGTTTTCTGTCATTATTTTTCAAATAGGTTCTTTCTTTCTTTCTTTCTTTCTTTCTTTCTTTCTTTCTCTCTCTCTCTCTCTCTCTCTCTCTCTCTCTCTCTCTCTCTCTCTCCCTCCCTCCCTTCCTCCCTCCCTCCCTCCCTTCCCTCCTTCCTTCCTTCCTTTTTTTTCTTTTTTTAGAATCACACAAAAATATTTTACTAAAACATAAGATTTATAGAAGTTTCCAGACAAGCCATACAAAATGGTCACAAGCTTTGATTTTGAAGGAAGGATTCTACATTTGACAGCAAAGTCACAGTGTTATTAGTGAGGGCAGTGATGTTTGTTTAATGTTTTCATTTTGGTTCAAGCAATCAAGCTTGTCCATCTACAGTGTCTAAATATTCTAAAGAACTGGTTAGCTGCTTTTAACCAATGCAATTAGATCACCATAAAAGGGGGGAAAGTAGCCCATAAAATTAAAATTAAACTACTTCCCCCCTCAAAAAAAATAAATAAAAACACCCATACCTCTGCAGCTAACCCTGACTACCTTCATTCACATCTCTTTATATTTAAACCATTTTAGGGGGAAATGAATAAAAGTAGAGAGGGCTCACTGCTTTTAAACGTTTCACAACAATCCAGATGGTACTTCTGGCCTCTGCTCATGCTTTATAACAGTGAATCGGGATAAGACATAGGTTTTCTAATGTGCATTTAATCACCAAAGGACTGAATATGTCTGGGCTTTTATTCTGTAATGTTTCTAAGACTGTCCATTAAATGCAAATTAAAAAGGAATAAGTTTTGGCAGAACAGAAGAAGTGATGCACACTTGATCAGATCGATTTAAATATTATTCATGGCATATAGCTTAGTCCATGCTCTAGCTGTTTCTATGGCTTGACCTTCGTTGGTCTCCCACTGCTCCGCTACATCATTTTCTAATTGATCATCTGGATTAGGAGCATTTATCAAAGCCTGGTTGGATAGCAGAACTGTGCGAATCTGCAGTGCTGGGGACCACTTACCTTTCAAAATCTCTAAACAGTCCACCTGGTGTAGCTCAGTGGTAGAGCATCGACCCATGCACTGAGAGGTCATCAGTTCTATTCCCGGTCAGGACACATGCCCAGGTTGTGGGCCAAATCGCCAGTGGGGGGCATGCAAGAGGCAGCCAATCAATGTTCTCTCTCATTGATGTTTCTATCTCTCCTTCTCACTTCCTCTCTCTAACATCAGTAAAGGGAAAAAAAAATTAAAAAAAAAAACAAAATATCTAAACATGTTCTTCCCAACTTGTCTACATTAGGATGATAAATTTTGGTCATGAAACATACGTTAGGTGCTGCCATCGGGTATTCTTCTGGAAGGAATAGTTCAAGTTTAAAAGTCCCTCCCTCAAAGGGGGAATCCTGGGGACCAGCAATGACTACATGAAAAAAACAGGCACTGCTGCCCTCGCCAGTTTGGCTTAGCGGTTGAGCGTCAACCTGTGGACCAGAGAGTCCTGGCTTCGGTTTCCGCTAGGGGCTCGTACCACAAAAAATAAATAAATAAAATAAAATTCCCCAATATTAAAAAAGAAAATAGTAACGGCATTGCTCTCATCTGGTTCTGCTTTAATGCTGGGAACCGGATCTGCCAGCAAACGCTGGGTTTCTTTGATAATCCTGCGGGGCAGCCCAGCCATCTCGTCAGATCCCAAGTTTGGCCTTTGGTCTAGTCCAAATAGGTTTTCAATTTCTTGCTCTTTTCCTTCGGGCACCTCCATGATGCGAATGTTGTTATGCTTGAAGTTGTCCCAGAGGCTCCTTACACTATCCTGCCTTTTTTGGATTTTTTTTTTTTTCCTGTTGTGGTTGGGTGTGTTTTGCTTCCTTATATTCCAAATCGATTGATTGCTTCTTGGCTTTACCTACTCTACTATTGACTCCTTGTAATTTATTCTTTATCTCAGTTAGTGCCTCCTTCATTTCTGACTGGTCCTTTTTTATGTTCTTGAGGTCCTCACCAAGTTCCTTGAGCATCCTCAAGAATGCTTTGAACTCTGTGTCTGTTAGATTGCTTATTTCCATTTAATTTAGTTCCTTTCCTTCAGTTGTGTTCTGTTCTTTCATTTGGGACATATTTCTTTGTCTCCTCATCTTGGCTGCCTCCCTGTATTTGTTTCTATGTGTTCGGTAGACTTGCTATGTCTCCTAGGTTTCCTAGGGTGGCCTACTGTAATAGGTGTCCTGCAGGGTCCAGTGGCACAACCTCCCTGGTTACCCCAGCTGGGCCCTCGAGGTGAATCTCTTGTGTGAATTGTACACCCTTCTGTGGTAATTGAGTCTTGATTGCTATTGGCATATCAATGGGAGGGATTTACTCAGGCTGATGAGCTACAAGGACTGGCTGTGCCCACTCACCACTGACCTGTCACTACCTTACAGGATCAGCTGTGTAGGGGACCACCACACAGAGCAAGACCTACTTCAGCAGGGTTCTGGTACCCACTGAATCCACTCCTTGACTGCGTTGCTTGTGGAGGTGGTTGGGTGGTGGTGCTTCCCTGTGGTCTGAAGCTGTCCACTCGGTGTTCTGGCTCTGAGGCAAGGTCAGCCAGTGCCTGGGTTCTACCTGGGGCCACTAGGCATAAACTACAAAGTGATGCTTAAAAAAAAAAAATTTGCTCTGGCCGGTTTGGCTCAGCTGTTAGAGCATTGGCCTGCGGTCCAGAGAGACCCGGGTTTGGTTCCCGCTAAGGGCATGTACCTCGGTAGCAGTTTGTCCCCGGCCCTGTTTGGGTCGTGTGGGTGGCAGCCACTCGACGATGTGTCCCTTTCACGTCGATGTTTCTCTCTCTCTCTTCCTGCCACTCTATGTGAACAAAAAATGGAAAAATGTCCTTGGGTGAGGATTAAATAAATAAATAAATACTTAAAAAAAATGATTTTATTGATTTTAGGGAGTGGGAGGAAGAGAGAGAGAGCACGAAACATCGAAGTGAGAGAGAAACATCCATGGGCTTCCTCCTGCACACCCCCTAGCTGGGATCGAGCTGCAATGGAGCATGCTCCCTGACTGGGAATTAAACTGGCATCCTTTTGGTGCATGGGATGACGCCCAGTCCATTGAGCCACACCAGCCAGGGCCATCTGCTTGTATTTTTAGTAATGTCTATGTCACCCCCAGATTGTAACTCCCCAGAATTTAACACATGCCCGATTTTAACAACATATATTATAAATGAATGAATGTGTAAAGGAATGAGAGGGAATGGAAATGTTTGTAGCAACATTCGGCACAGGTTAAGGTGGACGTCAGTACAAGTGCTAGGACAGCTTGTGGATGCTTTTGGCACCTCAGTGGCCCTTTCAGGAAAGACTCCCCCTGAGTCCGCAACGGGCTTTGCGTGGCGGTGGTGGAAAATACCCGGCCAAGGCATCTTTTTTCTACGCGGTTGGCGCTGTGTGGCCTCCAGCCGTGAGGGGCGCTGTGAAGAGGCGGCAGCTTCCGGTGCGTCCTTTCCTTCCTTCTGCCGCCGGCGCCAGGACGTCCTGTTTTCGTTGGCGGCGCTCGGATGGCTTCCACCACTGTAGCTGCTACCGCCACTTAGTGCTGCTTTTCGACGGGCGAGCGCCGCGTAGCGTCACCTGCTTTGTCCGGTTCTCCTGCGTGTGGGCCCCACGGGCGCCTCTTTCCCGCGGCCGGCATCATGGGCCGGGAGTCACGGTGAGGCAGTGCTGCGTGCGGGCGAGTGGCTTCCTGGGAAGGGGGCAAGAAGCGGGAGTTGAAGTGGCCGCGGGGCCCGGCCTGGCCCGGCACAGACCCACGTGTGACCCGCTCTGCTTGAGGCCGCTGGAGGGCCTGGGGGACCTCGGCTGAGGGAGTGGCTGTACTTGGGCCGGCGACGGGCACAGGATTCCCCTGCACAGTCCGTCGGTTCGAGCTCGTGGCTTCGTTCATGACTGTATGACTGTATTATCTTTTTAATATATTGCTGAATTCAGTATGATAATCTTTATGTTTAGATTGAGCCTAGACTATAATTTTCTTAAATTTTTTTTTCTTTATTGATTTTACAGAGAGAGAGGAAGGAAGAGGGAGGGAGAGAGAGAGAAACATCCATGAGAGAGAACATAGATTGGCCGCCTCCTGCATGCCCTCCACGGGGTTCAGGCCCACAAACTGGGCACTGCCCTGACCAGGAATTGAACCAGTGACCACTTGGTGCATGGGTCGACACTCAAGCACTGAGCCACACCAGCTTGGCAACTATAATTTTCTCTTCTCATGCTGCTCTAGTATAAAATAGAAAAACCTATTTCCCATTCTCTCCCTTTATCCTTTACTCTGATCTGTTTTTCTCCATAGCACTAGATGGCATTTTGTGTATTTAAATTTTTTTTTTTTTTTTTATCCTCACCCGAGGACATTTTTCCATTTTTTGTTCAGATAGAGTGGGAGGGAGAGAGAGGAAGAGAGAGAGAGAGAAACATCGATGTGAAAGGGACACATCGAGTGGCTGCCACCCGCACGACCAACCAGGGCCGGGGACAAACTGCAACCGAGGTACATGCCCTTAGCGGGAACCGAACCCGGGTCTCTCTGTACCGCAGGCCGACGCTCTAACTGCTGAGCCAAACTGGCCAGGGCTGTGTATTTAATTTTTTGCCTGTCTGTCATGCTTTCCTTTATAGAATGCAAGCTGCTTGGGGCTTGGTCTGTTTTCTTTACTCCCCTTACTTCCCTTTCAAGATAGTTTCCTCCCCTTTGCATATGCTAAAACAGAAAAGTTTATTCTTTCCCCCTAATTAACAAAAAAATGTATGCTCTCTGGTGTGGCTCAGTAGCTGAGCGTCGACCATTCATCAAGAGGTCACAGGATTGATTCCTGGTCAGGGCACATGCCCAGGTTGTGGGCCCGATCCCCAGTTTGGGGCATGTAGGAGGCGGCCAATCAGTGTTCTCTCTCATGGGTACTTCTATCTCTCTCACCTTCTCCCTTCATCTCTCTAAAATCAGTAAAGAAAAAAAAAGTTTTGAATGTATAAAAAGTTCTTTCAGTATTTGTCTGCTGATATTTTCTTGGAAAAAATATTAAAAATAAAATACAGTAGAAGCTACCTGTGTCTGCTAAACTTAATATTTAACTTAATATTCTAGTCACTATCGGAAACGATCAGCATCACGGGGACGCTCTGGAAGTCGATCTAGAAGTCGCTCACCCTCGGACAAAAGAAGTAAACGTGGAGATGACAGAAGGTCTAGAAGCAGAGATAGAGATAGGAGGAGAGAGAGATCTCGTAGCAGGGATAAAAGAAGATCTCGGTCAAGAGACAGGAAGCGTCTGAGGTAAGGACATTAATCTCCAAAGGACCCAAGATAAATGGAGCTTTCTCAGCTAATTGGCTTCTTCAAAAGTGTGTTTTGTACTAGAATTTGGTGGCCTCTTTGCAGGCCCTCTGGTTTGATTCCAGTTTGTTTGATTAGGTCCAGAGGTGATTTGTCTAGAACAGTGATTTTAAACCTTTTTCATTTCATGGCACACATAAACTAATTACTAAAATGATGTGGCATATCAAAAGATATATTTTTTGGGTTCAACTAACAACAAAAAAAAAATAGGGAGAATTTTGATTGATTAAAAAAAAAAAGTAGTTATTTACCCATTTGGCTCCAAAGTGACTTTTTAAAAAAGGCAGGTGTCTGTTCTTGTATATAAGGATTTCTGTACCAGCAGTTAAATAATCACGCGCAACCTTATGTGACATGACCAATAAGATGCAAGTCTGTTATACAGCCTATATATATTTATGCTTCAAGGCAGGGCAGTCAAACAGGATAGCTATTATTGTGTTGTCTTTTTTAAAAAAAAGAATCTTGCCCTGGCTGGTATGGATCAGTGGTTAGAACGTCAGCCTGCGGACCGGAGAGTCCTGGGTTCGGTTCCCGCTAAGAGCACATACCTCTGTTGCAGTTTGTCCTTGGTCCCAGTTAGGGTTGTGTGGGTGGCAGCCACTCAATGTGTCTCTCTCACATTGATGTTTTTCTCTCTCTCTCTTCTCCTCTCCCTCCTACCCACTCTATTTGAAGATAAATGTCCTCTGGTGAGGATGAAAAAATAAATACAAAATGTATTTTAATTGGTTTTTAGAGAGAGGAAGGGAGAGGGAGAAAGAGAAACATTGGTGTGATAGAGAGCCTGTGATGGGCTGCCTCCTGCACGCCCCCTACTGGGGATCCAGCCCACAATCTGGGCATGTGCCCTGATTGGGAATTGAACCAGTGACCTCCTGGTGCATGGGATGATACTTAATCCACTGAGCCACACCAGTCAGTCGACTGTTGTCGTTTTTTTATTTGACAGTCTAAGCCAGTGGTTCTCAACCATCCCAATGCTGCGACCCTTTAATTCTGTTCCTCATGTTATGGTGACCCCCCAACCATAAAATTATTTTTGTTGCTACTTCATAACTATAACTTTGCTACTGTTACATCTTAGGCGGCCCCTATGAAAGGGGTCACTACCCACAGGTGGAAAACCACTGGTCTAAGGGGAAAGAGGTTGATGCCCCTGACTAAGTAGTCAGGTATTTTATGTTTTAAATTTTTTACCCTGTGCCCTGGACTGTGTGGCTGAGTTGGTTAAATATTGTCCCATGCACCCGGCAGTCGCCAGTTTGATTCCCAAAGGGGTCCAGCAGGGTGGCTGATTAATGTTTCTGTCTCATCAGTGTTTTTCTCTTTCCCTCCTTCCCTTCTCTCCTCTTTTTCTAAAATCAATAAAAACATATTTAAATTTTTTTTCTTTATTGATTTTAGAGAGAGAGGAAAGGAGAGCGAGACAGAAACATTGATGAGAGAGAACATCGATTGACCGCCTCCTGCATGCCCCACATCAGGGATCAGGCTCACAACCCAGGCATGTGCCCTGACCGGTAATCAAACTGGTGCACTGTCCGGGCAATAAAAACATATTTAAAAGTAAATAGCTCTGGCCGGTTTGGCTCAGTGGTTAGAGTGTTGGCCTGCGGTCCAGAGAGACCTGGGTTCGGTTCCCGCTAAGGGCATGTACCTCGGTTGCAGTTTGTCCCCAGCCCTAGTTGGGTCGTGTAGGTGGCAGCTACTTGATGTGTCCCTTTCACGTCGAAGTTTCTCTCTCTCTCCCTCCCACTCTATGTGAACAAAAAATAGAAAAATGTCCTCGGGTGAGAATTTAAAAATAAAAAAAAGTACATAAAAATTCTAGCCCTGGCTGGGTAGCTCATTTGGTTAGAGCATTGTCCTAATACTCCAAGGTTGCGCATTTGATCTCTGTCAGGGCACATACAGGAATAAACCAATAAATGTATAAATAGGTTGAGCAACAAATGGATGTCTCTCTCTTTCTTTCAAAAAATCTATTAAAAGTATTAAAAAAAATTTCTTGTGGCACACCAGATGAATATTGCTGGCCTAGAATAAAAATTCTCAAATAGTATTTCGAGTTTGGAAACTTTGGTTGTATATTTTGAAATTTAAAGAGAACCCTTGAAGCCCCCCTGACATAGGTTAAAAAAAGAAGCAAAAGGTAAGGTAATATGCTATCAAGGGGGTTTTGTTCTTTTTTTTTTATTTTTTTTTATTTTAAAGAGAGAGGAAAGGAGAGGGAGAGAGAGGAACATCGATGAGAGAGAACATCGATTGGCCGTCTCCTGCATGCCCCCCACTGGGTATTGGGCCCACAACCTGGACATGTGTCCGACTAGGAATCAAACTGGTGACCTCTTGGTGCATGGGTTGATGCTCAGCCACTGAGCCACACCGTCTGGGCAAGTGGGTTCTATTCTAATACTGTCCCAAGAAGCCATTAAAGCTGACAGAAGGAAACAGAACAGAGCTGTCTTCAGGTCCTGCTTACAGTTTGAGGTTGTTTTATCTATTTTTTTTAATTAATTTATTTTTGTTACAGATGTTTCTTCTTTTTCCCCCACTGATTTCCCCTCTCTCTCCCTCCCCACCCTGTCCCCAGCTTTGTTGTCCATGTCTATTGTTCATGCATACGAGCATAAGTTCTGTGGTTTATCTCTCCCCTACCACCCCACCTCCTCTTCTGGGGATTTGTTTTATCTTTTTTTTTTTTTAATCCTCACCCGAGGGCATTTTTTCATTTTTTGTTCAGAGAGTGGGAGGGAGAGAGACGATGAGAGAGAGAGAGAGAGAGAGAGACATCGATTTGAAAGGAACACATCGAGTGGCTGCCTCCTGCCCTCCTGTACAACCCAACCAGGCCTGGGACAAACTGCAACCAAGGTATGTGCCCTTAGTGAGAGCTGAACCTGGGTCTTTCTGGACTGCAAGTCAATGCTCTAACTGCTGAGCCAAACTGGCCAGGGTTGTTTGAGGTTGTTTTTTTTTTTTTTTTTATCCTCACCCAAGGACATTTTTCCATTTTTTGTACAGATAGAGTGGGAAGGAGAGAGAGGAAGAGACAGAGAGAGAGAAACATCGATGTGAAGGGACACATCGAGTGGCTGCCATCGCACGACCAACCAGGGCCAGGGACAAACTGCAACCGAAGTACGTGCCCTTAGCGGGAACCGAACCCGGGTCTCTCCGGACCGCAGGCCGATGCTCTAACTGCTGAGCCAAACCGGCCAGGGCTAAATAACTTTTTTTTTTTTTTCCTCACCCGAGGACATTTTTCGATATTTTGTTCAGATAGAGTGAGAGGGAGAGAGAGAGAGAGAAACATCGATGTGAAAGCGACACATCGAGTGGTTGCCACCCACATGACCCAACCAGGGCTGGGGACAAACTGCAACCAAGGTACGTGCCCTTAGCGGGAACCGAACCCGGGTCTCTCCGGACCGCAGGCCGACGCTCTAACCGCTGAGCCAAACCGGCCAGGGCTTTGAGGTTGTTTTAAATAACTGTTTTAGATTAGAATTAAACATAGTCTGAATTTTTGTTTTACTTTTACTTGATTGCATATTCCAGTTAAACAGCCATTCCTTGCACCTTTCACCCTTCCTGGGGGTGAAAAACAGACTTTAAGTAAAAATAATCCCCCACACCAAAGAATTTTCTAATATAGTTTCTCATTAAAATAGGAAAGAAGACAAAGTTGTACAGTTGCTGTGAACTGATCACAGAAAGAACTTTGACTTTATCTTTTTCAAACATTGGAAGGAGAGATTGCAAAGGTATTATGTAATACTCAGGGAAAAAATTAAACTTTGATAATGTGTGTAGTGTTAACTTGCTCAATTTTATATTATGTCGCCCTAGAAATGGTTTCATGCAATACATGTTAAGTGAAAGTGTTCATTTAAGATTTGGTCTTTTATTTTTTGGGGGTGAAAGAATCACAAGATTTTAGAGCAAGAAAGATTTTGATATTATTTTGTGAAATCTCCATATTTTATAGATGAGAAAACTAAGACTCAGAGAGTTTATCTGCTCCATATCATGTCACTAGTTAGTAGCAGCAGCACCAGGATAGATATTCTAGTCTCATCTTCATATCTGTGATCTTCCAAAAGCTCTATTTTGTCCATCCTTAGCTTTAGGCTGTCATTGAAATTTAGGTAAAATTGCTATTATTACAGATTTGCTATGCTTTTCAGTAAACTTCATTTTCAAATTAGTATCTTCTTTTTTTTTCAGTAACCACTTGTAACAATTGGCATTACTTCTTCCCTGTTTTGCTGGTTTGACAGTTAATTGAAATCTCTATTCTTTCATCATGGGACAGAACCATAATCTGAAGTAGTTTCACTTGATAATAGAATATATGAAAAGTGTCTTCTTTTCAGGCGTTCCAGAAGTAGAGAGAGAGACAGAAGTCGAGAGCGAAGAAGATCTCGAAGTCGAGATAGGAGGCGCTCAAAGAGTAGAAGCCGAGGCCGACGATCCCGATCCTCCAGTCCTGGCAATAAAAGCAAGAAAGCTGAGAATAGGTAATGTCACTGGGCTGTATCTGTCATGCAGGTTGGGCACTGGCCGTCTTTCCTATTCCTTGTGTTTGTTTGTTTGTTTATTATTATTGTTTTTCATCCTCACCTGAGGACATTTTTGCATTTATCTTCAGATAGAATGGGAGAGAGAGGGGGAGGAAGAAAGAGAGAGACACATCAATGTGAGAGACACATCGACTGGTTGCCACCTGCATGACCCTGACCAGGGCTGGAGACGAACTGAAACTGAGGTACATGCTCTTGATCAAAACTGAACCCAGGACTCATTGGTCAGCAGGCAGGCGCTCTATCACTGAGCCAAACCAGCCAGGATGTATTCCTTATGTTTAAAAAACTCTTGTACCCTGGCTGGTTTGGCTTACCGGTTAGACCGTTGGCCTGCGGACCAGAGAGTCCTGGGTTTAGTTATCACTAAGGGCATGTACCTCGGTTGCAGTTTGTCCCGGGCATCAGTTGGGATCCTGTGGGTGGCGACCACTTGATATGTCTCTCTCACATCGATGTTTCTCTCTCTCTTCCCCCCTCTCTCCCTCCCTATCGGAAGATAAATGCAAAAATGTCCTCCGGTGAGAACAAAAAAATTAAAAAAAAAAAAAAAAATCTTGCTCTGGCCAGTAAAGGTCAGTGGTTAGAGTGTCAGCCCTAGAATGGTCTTGGGTTTGATTTCCGGTCAAGGGCATCTCCTGCATTGGAGGTTCAATCCCTGGCTGCAGTCAAGGTGCATGTGGAAGGCAGCCATTCGATGTGTCTCTCTCACATGGATGTCTCTGTCTCTCCTTCCTTCTCTCCTTCCCTCCCTCACTTGCCCTCTCCTCCTTTTCTCCCTCTCTGTCCCTCTCTTCCCCCTACTTCAACTCTTTTTTTTTTTTTTATCCTCACCCGAGGACATTTTTCCATTTTTTGTTCAGATAGTGGGAAGGAGAGAGTGGAAGAGAGAGAGAGAGGGAAACATCGACGTGAAAGGGACACATCGAGTGGCTGCCACCCGCACGACCAACCAGGGCCGGGGACAAACTGCAACTGAGGTACATGCCTTTAGTGGGAACCGAACCCAGGTCTCTCTGTACTGCAGGCCGACGCTCCAACCACTGAGCCAAACTGGCCAGGGCAACTCTTTCATTAAAAACACACACACACACACAATGGAAAAAATATCTTTGGGTGAGAACTAACCAAAAAAATTAAAAATCCTTAGGTCCTGGCCAGATAGCTCATTTGCTTAGAGCATCATGCTGATACACCAAGGTTTCTGGTTTGATATCCGGTCAGGGCGCATACAAGAATCAATCAGAATGCATAAATAAGGGGAACAACAAATTGCGATGTTTTTCTCTCTCTCTCTCTCTCTCTCTCTTTGTCTCTCTCACTCCTCCCTTCCTCTCTTTAAAATCAAGCAGTCAATTAAAAAATAAAACCTGTAGCCCGGCTGGTATGGCTCAGTGGTTGAGCGGCGATCCATGCACCAAGAGGTCGCCATTTCGATTCCCTGTCAGGGCAGATGCCGAGATTGTGGGCCCAATCCCCAGTGGGGGGGCATACAGGAGGCTGCCAGTTGATGTTCTCTCTCATCGATGTTTCTGTCTGTCTGTCTCTCTCTCAAATGAATAAAGAGAAAATATTTTTAAAAAATATAAAATAAAACCATTAAGCCATGACTAGTTGGCTCAGCAATTAGAACGTCATCCCACAGACCAAAGGGTCTTGGGTTTGATTCCTGGTCGAGAGCACATGCCTTGGTTGCAGGTTCAGTTCCCGGCCTCTGTTGGGGTTGTGCAGGAGGCAAACAGTCAATATGTCTCACTTCCATGTTTCTCTCTCTCTTCCTTCTACTCTATGTAAAAATCAATGGAAAAATACCCTGGGTGAGTATTAACAGAAAAAGAGAAAGAAAATAAACCTTTAAAAACAATTAATGGATTTAACTCCTACTATGAACTATTGGCTGAATTTTTTTTTAAATCCTTACCCAAGGACATTTTTGCATTTATCTTCAGATAGAGTGGGAGGGAAAAAGGGAGGAAGAGAGAGAAACATCGATGTGAGAGAAACACATCAAGTGGTTGCCATCCGCATTATCCCAGCTGGGGCCGGGGACAAACTGCAACCGAGGTACATGCCCTTAGCAGGAACCAAACCCAGGACTCTCTGATCCGTGGGCTGATGCTCTAACTGCTGAGCCAAACCGGCCAGGGCCGAATTTTGTTTTTATAGGTTTTAAAACTTATGCTTCAGTTGGAAAATACTAGACTATTTTAATACTCATACATTATTATTTAATAACTTAATGGTCAAAATATATTTTATAAACATCTTTGTTGGAACTATGTTTTTTCCTTTGAAATTATTCTCTTAGTATTTCTAATATTGACAGATAACTTGAACTCCTGATGTGCATTGCTGAAATGCTGTTCAGGATGGATGAACGTTGTGTAATTTATTAAAAAAAATTTTTCTTTATTCATTTTTAGAGAGAGAGGAAGGGAGAGGGATAGAGAGATAGAAACATTGACGAGAGAGAACATTGACTCAACATCTCCTGCACGCCTCCAACTGGATATTTGGCCCACAACCTGGGCATGTGTACTGATTGGGAATTGAACCAGTGACCTCTTGATGCGTGCGTCGATATTCAACCACTGAGCCAAACCGGCCGGGCTTTGTATAATTTAAATGTACATGTTTCAATTTGAGTTATATTTACTCTTTTTTTTAATGTTTCTATTGATTTTTTTTTTTTTAGAGAATGAGGAAGAGAGAGATAGGAACATTGATGTGAAATACATCAATCGGCTGCTTCCTACACACCCCCTACTGGGGATCGAACCCGCTACTTGGGCATGTGCCCTGACCATGAATCGAACTGGGACCTCTCAGTTCATGGGATGACGCTCAATCCAACCAGCCACGCTGGCCGGTCATATTTACTATTTATATTTGTCCTATTAGTGGTTTGTTCTTTGCCTATTGTTTTCTAAAGTGGTGTCATAGGATCATCAATACATGGGCTTGTATCAGTTTTCTGTATGATGTTTGTATTAGTCATGAGTATTCTTCCCCTCTTGTTTATTGTACTTTGTAAATTTTACTTTTATATTACGAAGGTCAGTGTAATAAAACCCATTGGGGTTACTTTAAATTTGAAAAAGTATATATATGGCGCACTCTCCCCCTTGGGAGTATGCCTGTGTCTTTCTTCCCTCTCTGGCGTACATCTCCTAAACTCTAAGGGAGCCCAGGAAATTTGCAGCCAGAATAGCAGTGGGTAGTGGCATCTTGTCCTGGGCTAACTTCCTGAACCTGTCTCCAAGGCCCCCTTTTTGACTGCAGAGAGCCAAAGCAGCCCCTCCTAGGCTTTCCTGTTTCATCTATTCTAATACCCTCCTTGTTTCACTGTCCCCATCTCTCTCTCTTTTTTTTAAAACTCATCTTTATTGTTGAATGTATTACAGATGTTCCCCCTTTTTTTCCCCATTGACCCCCTCCTCCCCATTTCCATCCCCCTCCTGCCTTTTCCACACAATTGTAGATGTCCATTGGTTATGCATATATGCATAGAAGTTCTTTGGTTTATCTCATTCTTCCCTTCCCCCCCTTCCCTTTGAAGTTCATCGGTCTGTATACCAATTTGTATTTAATTCCTTCATCTTATTCACCCATTCCCCCAGCCCCAACTCATCTGGCAAGCAACAGAAGGTTCTCTGTAGCTATGAGTCTGTTTCTGTTCTGCTTATTCCTTTTGTTTGTAGATGCAATTGTTGTTAGATATGTATTAATTGCCATTTGATTGTTCATATTTTTATTCTTTTCCTTCAAGAGGACCCTTCAAGCCCTGACCGGTTTGGCTCAGTGGTTAGAGCGTTGGCCTGCAGTCCAGAGAGACCCAGGTTTGGTTCCTGCTAAAGGCATGTACCTCGGTTGCGGTTTGTCCTCGGCCCTGGTTGGGTCATGTGGGTGGCAGCCACTTGATGTGTCCCTTTCACGTCGATGTTTCTCTCTCTGCCTCTCCCACTCTATCTGATCATAAAATGGAAAAAATGTCCTCGTGTGAAGATAAAAAAGAAGACCCTTCAAGATTTCATATAATACTGCTTTGGTGGTGGTGAACTCCTTTAACTTTTTCTTGTCTGGGAAACTCTTGATATGTGCATCGATTCTAAATGATAGCTTTGCAGGATAGAGTAATCTTGGTTGTAGGTTGTTGGTTTTCATCACTTTGAATATCTCTTGCCACTCCTTTCTGGCTTGCAAAGTTTTTTTTGAGAAATCATCTGACAGTCTTATGGGAGCTCCTTTGTATGTAACAGACTGCTTTTCTCTTGCTGCTTTTAAGATTCTCTCTTTGTAATCTTTGGCATTTTGATGATGATGTGTCTTGGTGTGGACCTCTTTGGGTTCCATTTGTTTGGGACGCCCTGTGTTTCCTGGACTTGTATGTCTGTTTCCTTCACCAAGTTAGGGAAGTTTTCTGTCATTTATTTTCAAATAAGGTTTCAATTTCTTGCTCTCTCTCTTCTCCTTCTGGCACCCCCATGATGCAAATATTGGCATGCTTGAAGTTGTCCCAGATGTTCCTTACACCATCCTTATTTTTTTGGATTTTTTTTTTCTTTTTGCTGTTCTGATTGGGTGTTTTCTGTTTTTTTATATTCCTAATCGATGATTTGCTTCTTGGCTTTACCTACTCTACTCTTGGTTCCCAGTAAATTATTCTTTATTTCAGTTAGTGCCTCCTTTATTTCTGACTGGTCCTTTTTTTTATCCTCACCAGGGTACATTTTTGCATTTCAGATAGAGCGGGAGGGAGAGAGGGAGGAAGAGAAACACTGATGTGAGAGAGACACATCAAGTGTTTGCCACCACACAATCCCAACTGGGGCCGGGGACAAACTGCAACCGAGGTATATGCCCCCAGCGGGAAATGAACCCGAGACTCTGGTCCACCGGCCGACGCTCTAACAACTGAGCCAAATCAGCCAGGGCTT